GTGGGCAGAGGGGAAGCTGTGAGAGCGGAGAGGCACCCGGTGCCGCCGTCCTCGTTAGCGGGCTGTGTTCACATGAACTGGATTATCTGCGCGTGCATTGCAGTGTCGGCCTGCAGGCAGGGCACGCCACCCACCGAGTGTGACAGCATGTGTCCCCACCACGGGGTGGGAGGGGACAGGGACGGGTCCTGCACGCTGCTCCGGGCCGGGCCACCTCGGGGGGGCTGCGGTGACGCCTGCTCACCTCGCACTGCATGGACAGGCTCTGGGCACGGGCACCTTCCCCCGGGGCTGGTGCCACCATGGGGTCCGGGGCACGACCGGCAGCCCCGTGCATGTGAGTGGAGGTGGGAGCGAGCACAGCCCGGCCCCAGCTGAGGGTTACCCTGACGGAACTGGACCCCAAAACCTTGCTCAGGTGCAAGAGAAGGTGTGTTTTCCAGTCCCCTTGCTCTGGGTGACGATTCCCTTGTGCACGGTGTCACCTCCCTCCTGGAGCAGTGCAGGAGGAGCCAGGCTCCGCTCCCCGGCAGCCCTGGAGATGTTCCCCTGCAGGGATGGCTCTTCCCCTTCGGGCTGGGGAAAAAAGGTGACTCGGAGGACTTGGGCTGTCCTCGTGGGTCAGGGCACCCTGGTGACACCTCCTATTGAAGCCCTGATAGGGATTTGGGTCTTCATCCTCCCCCTCCTGCTGATCTGGAGCAGACCCAGCATCCCATACTGGCTGGCCGGGCTCCCGTGCGGAGGTCGGAGCTGCGCTCCCAGCCCTTCCCCTGCTCCTTCCCCAGGCCATGGCTCAGCCGCTGGGTACCTCGACAAATCCCACCTGCAGCAGTGCCGATGAGCACAGCCCAGGACATCTCATTTCTCCCCTCGCCGAGGGTTCAGAGATGGTACCTGGAGCAGCAGCCCCTGCCCGCGTGCAGAGGAGCCCAGCCGGGTCTGCGGGGGCTGATGCTGAGGTCGAGGTTTCTCTGCCACCAGTGGGGACCCACGGGTGGTCACTGCCTGGGTCCCCGTGTCCTGCTGCGGAGCAGACCTGCTCTGCTTCCACCTGGCCAGGTCGGACTCTGTACCCGCTCGGGCGAATCTCTCTTTGCTGAGCCCTCTTCCCAGCTTGTCTGGCTGGCCATGGGATGGGTGAGATCCTTCTCTGGGATCTAGAGGCTGAGCCAATCCTGCCAGCTGCCGGCAGCCGTGCAGTGCCCGGCTCGGAGCCTGGGTGCAGACCCTTGGGCTCTCCTGGCACTCAGAGGAGGTCGGGATCTCGGGGTCTTCCCACCCC